AAACTCATTTCAGACGAAATAGACTTCGAGTCAAAAATTGTTAAAAGAGACAAAGAAAAACATTATATAATGATGAAAGGGTCAATTCACCAAAAAAATAAAACAATTATAAATATTAATATATGCACCAAACATCAGAGCTCCTAAATAAAAGAAGCAAACATTGACAGAATTGAAGATAAAAATAAATAGCTCTACAATAATAGTATAATACATTAGGCCACAAAACAACCCTTAATAAATGTTAAAAGATTGAAATCATACAAAATATCTTTTTTGAAATCAATAGTAGAAAGAAAACTAGAAAATTTCACAAATGTGTGGAAATTAAACAACATACTTTTAAACAACAAATGGGTCAAAGAAGAAATCACAAGGGAAATTAGAAAATATTAGGATACAATTTAAAATGATACACAACATATCAAAACTTATGTAGAGGAAGCAGTATTATAAGAGAAATATATAGCTGTAAATGCTAACATTAAAAAATAAGATCTCAAATCAACAACTAAACTTTAAGCTTTAAGGAACTAGAGAAGGAAGAACAAACTAAATCCAGAGTTAGCAGAAGGAAGGAACTACTAATGATTAAAGTAGGCATCAATGAAATAGGGCAGAGAGAATCAACAAAACCAAAAGTTGATTCTTTGAAAAGATCAACAAAATTGACAAATCTTTAACTAGATTGACAAAGAAAAATATGAAAAGATTTCAATGATCACAATCAGAAATAAAACAGAGGACATTACAACTGATTCTATAGAAATAAAGAGGATCATCGAATAATAAGAACAATTGTTTGCCAAAAAATTAGATCACCTAGATGAAATGGGTAAAATCCTAGAAAGACCCAACCTACCAATACTGAATTATGGAAAAATAGAAAATCAAAACAGATCAATAGCTGGTAAGAAGGCTGAATCAGTAATACAAAATTTCCCAACAATTAAAAACCCAGAACCAGATGGATTCACTGATGAATTCTATCAAATATTAAAAAAAAGAATTAACACCAATCCTCCTCAAACTCTTCAAAAAAAAAAAAAAAAAAGGAAGAGAAGGGAATACTTCCAAATGCTATGAGGCCAGCTTTACTCTGATACCAAAGCCAGACAAAGACATTACAAGAAAAGAAAATTATGGACCAATATCCCTGCTAAATATTGATGCAGAAGCCTCAACAAAATAGTAGCAAACAAAATTCAACTGCACAGTAAAAAGATTACACATCATGAACAAGTGAGGTTTATTTCTCTAATGCAAGAATGGGTCTATATACAAAAATAAATCACCGTAATACACCATATTAGTGGAATGAAGGAAAGAAAACACATGATCAGCTCAATTGATGCAGGAAAAAAAACCACCCTTTGATGATAACAACAGTCAACAAACTAGGAATAGAAGGAAACTACCTTAATGTAGCAAAAGCCATACAGGAAAGCAAAGCCCCCCAGCAAACATCATATTCAACGCTGAAAGACTAAAAGTTGTACCTCTAAGATCAGGAACAAGACAAAGATGCCACTTTTGTCACCTCTACTCAACATAGTACTGGAAGTTACCCAGAGCAATTAGGCCAAAAAAGAAATAAAAGGCATCCAAATAGGAAAGAAAGAAGTAAAATTACCTCTGTTCACAGAAAACACAATCTTACATAGAAAACTGGAAATATTCCACACACAAAAAAACTGTTAGACCCAACAAACTGATTCAGCAAGATTGCAAGATACAACAGCATTATGCAAAAACCAGTTGCATTTCTGTACATCAACAATGAGCTGAAAAAGAAATTAATAAAATGATTCCATTTTCAATAGCATCAAGAAGAGAAAAAATACTTCATAATAATCTTAATTAAAATGCTGTTATAGCTAAATATGCAGACTCTATCTAGGACTAAGACTAATATTAGATGGTGTTGATTTTTAAAGCAAAAACAATTCTAGGAATTGAGCATCAGTTCTTAATGACAAAATAGTCCTTCCAATAAGAACATATATCTATTGTAAACTTTTTGAACCTAATAATATAACCTCAGATTATATACAGCAAATACTGGTAAAACTAAAAGAAAAAATGGAAAAATCCACCAGTTTAGTGGGAAATTTTAATTTACCTATATAAGTAACTGATAGAACAAGCAAATAAGAAATGGGAAATATATAAATGATTTTGATAACACAATTAACATGTTTGACCTAATTAATAATATAAACTACTACATCCAGATAACAGAATTCATATTCTTTTGAAAAACACATACATTTACCAAATTCAACCATATAGGCCAGTAGCATGACTCAACAAATTCAAAAGATTGAAACATTCAGAATATGTTTCCTCACTACAGTAAAACTAAGCTAGAAATCAGTTTTTTTTAAAGTGACCTGAAAGGTCCCCAAATGTCTAGAAATTAAGCAATACTTCTAAATAGCTATGAGTCAAAAACAGATCACAGTAGAAAGTAGAAAATTTTTGAACTGATTGACAATAAGACTATGACATATCAAAATGTGTGGAATATACCTACAGTTTTGCAAAGAGGAAAATTTACAGTCTTAAAAGCAAATGTTAGAAAATAAAATCAAAAAGTCAAGAAGCTAGAAAAAGAACAGCAATCAAGCTAAATTTAGTAGAAGAAAGAAAATAATAAAGATAAAAGGATAAATTAATGGAATAGTAAATATATGTACTGTAGAGAGAATTTTTTAAAAGCCTCAGTTCTTTACCAAGACTGGTTATATTTCTGTAATGGAGCAAGTCTTGTCACAGAAGTGACACCCTAGCAAGGATCTTTCCAAAGGGAAGGGTGTGATTATGCTCACAGGAGCCAGAGTGAGACTCCTTCGGATTTGAATTCTTCACTTTGACACTTAGTACTTTTGTGACTTAAGCCAAGAATAAAATCTTTTTGAACCTCAGTTTTCTCATCTGAAAATGAAATCGTAATGGTACGTATATCACAGGTTAATATGAAGACTGAATGAGGTAATTATAGAAAATACAATAAATATTTGCAGTAACCAATATTTTTGAGACTTCTGAAAGCCCATGCCTCTGGTTGATATTGAATGTTATTCTTTGTAGCCTAGGTTTCTGAAAATAGTCAGAAGTGGGCAAGAATAAGTGATAAAAATTAGGACAAGGAAGTAAAGGAGAAAGCTGCAGTGTGGGATGCAAACCCAGCCCAGGAGGACACGGCCAACTCACTGCAGTTACCATCAACCCAACACTGCTATAGGGAAGTACAGAGCTTTAGAGTGTAGCCTGCAGCAGACACAAGGAACCGTCAGGTGGTATGTAGGTTTGATACCGACAGCCACAGAGGGAGAATCTGTGGCAGCCTCCAAAAGTAGTAGTTTGAGGAGGAGCAAGAAAAACAAGAAGACCAGGTGGTCACAGCCACAGAAAAGGAATGAGAAACTCCCATTCCCAGCCCCAAGATTCCCAAATACGAAGTGCAGGCTTTCTAGGGTGAAGCTGATAAGCCCACTGTGACCAGGCAGTGTCATGACACACCAGAAAATCAGGCAGAGCATGGTTTCCAGCTCTAGAGCAGGAAGAAGAGTCAGAAATGCACATTAAACGGTGCAGTGCCGGCATCTTTTCAAAACAGAGGGTCTTTGAGGGAACCAGAGGACTCACTGGGAATCATCAGTTGTGCATTTATAAAATTTATATTTTAGGGAATTTTTGGTTTTATGAGGTTGGCAAGGAAAGAGGGGAGCTGTAGCATAATAAGAAATAAGTGTATTAATATTTGGTCTCTGCACACAGCTCCTAAAACCCTTGGAATATTGGAATCGATACACATCTTTTCACTTTCTAATGGGATGACTGGGGCTGCTGGATGGCCTGGGGCAGTGGTTGTCAGGGGAACCAATCATGTGATAGGAAGATTGGAAGTTTCAGACCCTCTCTTCTCGTACCCCCTCCCCGTTCCCCCAACCTCCAGGGAGGGGAGAGAGGCTGGAGGTTGAGTCAGTCACTAATGGCCATGAGTTAGCCAAGCATGCCTACATAAAGAAGCCTCCATAAAAACCAAAGGATGGGTGCAGGGAGCGTTAAGGTTGGGGAACACGTGGAGGTGCTGGGGCGTGGTGGGCCCAGAGAGGGCAGGGAAGCTCCCCACCCCCCTCACCAACCTGCCCTTCCATACCTGGCCCTATATGCCTCTTCCATCTGTCTGTTCTGGGGTTGGATCCTTTATAATAAACCAGTAACCTAGCAAATAAACTGTTTCCTGAGTTCCGTGAGCTGTACCAGCAAACTGCTGAACACGAAGGAGGGTCATGAGAATCCTGATTTCCAGCTGGCTGGTCAGAAGTCAGAAGGGAGGCCCAGATGTAGGGTTGGCATCTGGAGTGGGAGCAGTTTGTGGGACTGAGCCCCCAACCTGTGGGATCTGACACTAACTCTGGGCAGATAGTACCAGAATTTAACTGAACTGTAGGACATCTAGTTGGTGTCTGTAGAGAACTGGAGAATTGCTTGATGTAGAAAAAACACACATGCATTTTGTCACAGAAGTGTTGGAAGTGTTGAGTGTGAATATAGAGAAAAACAGTTTGGTTTTTCCTTTCCAGAAGCACACTCAGCATGGGGTATTTTCCCTGCAGTGTGAGGGGCAAATTTCAGGCTGAGTAAAGTGAGAAGGCACCCACGCAGTAAACCTGGACTCTCTTGAGAGGGGTCACGATTAAGTCCACATATACAAGTATTTATCATTCAAACCCGAACAGCTTTGAGAGTAAAAGGCATCACTATTAGAAACTGTGCAGGAACAACCTGGCTCAGTCAAACCAGGACTTCTGGTAAGTCTTCTCATAATTGACGGGAAAAAATTATCTAAGTAATCACAATAGCAAATTGTACTTGGAGCACCTCCCATTTAAAGCTCCCTTTCATTGAATAGGCTAGTCTCTTGGGAATGCATATTACCTCACTAAACTGGGAAAGCACCCCATCGTCCTGTACGAAGATGACTGACTTACCAGACAGACTGTTCTGGAAAGTCTCTTGCATATTCACATACCAAGCCACCTCACAAGTCTTCCTGATAAAGTCTGCGAAGGCTTTCCAGTAATATGTTTGTTCCAGGGAAAATTGTGCTTTTTCAAGTGTATGAAATATACTGCAGTCAAAAAGAATCCAGAGAAAGCTAAAATTTAGAAATGATTTTCCAGATGACAGATCATTATAAATTTATCTAAACACAAATATATGAGAATACCTGGGAGTCCACTTAGGTAAGGAATTAGAATCTCTGAAATAGTTCTAAATATTTATTTGTTTACAAATTTCTCCACTTTGATTTGAAAAATAAGTGAATGCCATTTATGGGAAAACATTAAATATAAAACACAGTAAATCAACAGAAAAGAAAGGAAAATTAAAGGCCACACTGTGAAGCAAACTTTGAGGTTAAGAAAAACACATTCCCTATTTGACATATTAGATTATGAACTTCCCAGCAGCCAAGGGAAGTGGAAATGGATCACACATATAATTCAAAAAGTCATAAAATAAAAACAAGGCAAATTTTCTGGAGAATTATAGCTCCCAAGAGAAACCTCTTACTGGTACTTAATGTGAGAGCCCTGAGTAATGTAATAAATGAGAACCTCAATCACATGCACACCTTGGACTAAACAGGGCTCCTACACAGCTTGTGAAAGATTAAGCTGATGGTTAAACTTTAAAAGAACTGTTTAACATTTTATAGATGCTTTCCAGTAGTACCAAAGTGGAGTCATATTTTTTAAATAAATTAAACATCTTTCTATTCTACTCGTTAGAAATATAATATACTGTGTTGAGCTATCATTTGAGTAGAAGGGGACAGTTGAAATCATTTTGACATCCAGTCACTCAGAAGTTTTCCATGAAACGTGTACTTACACTGTGGAGACAAGCTGGTGCTTACAGCTACCAGAAAAGACATCACTCCCAGGTAAGGCTTCAGCTCCTAGCAACCGGAAAAGCTGAGTACAGGAGAAGCTTGCTTCTGACAGCTGTGTCTCAAGTTCCTGCCAGTCCAAATATCCTTCAGGTATTAAAACTGGCATATTTTTGTACCCAGTAATGACCTCTTGCAAAATATGATCCTTAACAGAAAAAATATATATTGCTTGTAATAAATAAAGCAATTCGAATGTGGGTACTTGAGATGCAACCTCTACCTACTTTCATTTAATAAGGTGTCCACATGAACTGCTCGTTAAAGACCATGCCCTGTAAAACAATGGTCACCTAAGTCATAGTTCTGGACTTGAGTCTTTACTCATGTTCAAGTTAGTTGACCCCCAAATAAAAACCTTATACAAAAATAAAATAGGACGAGACCCAAGTGTCATAGCCGTCTGCATCCGCTAGTCTCCCCAAATGGCCCAAATGAACGAGACCCCCGGCAGTCTCACTCTCAGTCACCTCCTTCCAAAATTCCTCGAGGTTGGGCTCTGACTAACATGAACCCATAAAATGCAGAAGTGACTTGTGCCAGTTTCAGTTCTACCTTTTCTGAGGGGTGGCAGCTTCTACTCTTCCTCCTTTCCTGCCTATTTCTTTGATCCCCGATGGCCATGGAAAAAGTCTGGCTACTCTGCTGAGAGACCATGTACAGAGGCTACACAGACAAGAGAGACCCTGAGTCTCCAGAGAAGAATGAAAGATCCTCCTCTCAGCGTCCCAGCCGAGCATCCAGACTCAAGCCCCCACTGTCATCTTACTGTACCTATATGAGCGATGCTTGGTAAGACCAACAGAAGAACCACCTGGCTGACCCCAGTCAATCCAGAGTCATGGGAGATAATAAAATGTGCTTTTTTTTTAAAGCCACTGAGCTTTGGGGTGGTTTATTTGTAACAGATAACCTAGGCATCATCAGAAAGGCAATCTCACATATGTGCAACTGTAAATATACTCATCACTAGTAGCAGATCCTGCTGAGTTCTTGCTCTGTGTGGGGCTGTGAGTTAGGCTTTATAGATACAAAGAAATTTGGAATGAGCTTTCTGCCAGGAAAGAGCTTACACCCAATAGCAGGAAAGCTATGTGCAAACAGGTAGTGGTTTTCATGCCTGCATGCGTTCACATACACTTTTCTATCTGCCTGGTATCCTCTTCTGATTTCTTTTTGCTTCCAAATCTTATACCTCACTTATGGCTCATTGACTTATTTGGGAAGACTCCCAGATGCTGAGCTGTTAGGTTGTCTGACCTTCTCAGCCAAGATATGGTCTTCTTCACAATTGTACTCCCTTCGCCATACCGTCATGCACAGAGTAGATGCTAAGACAGCATTGATTGGATTGAACTATGTACACTACTATCCCAATGACTATCTCAACTTTTGTTTCATTCTGATATCATTTTGCTAGTTTCGTTATTTCACTGGTTTTATTTCATGGTCTATAAAAAAGAAGATTAAAAAAACATGTAATTCTGAGAGAAAAAAATGACAAAAATATGCATATTATGATGTTTAAGTCTCAGTAAGAAAAAAATGGGCTGAACTTGACATAATAATCTTTACAAACAAACTGCAGAACATTCTGCAGTCCCACTTGAGCACTCAGCCAAGGCAGCCCCCTGTCCTGAACAGAAATGAGAAAAGCATGACTTTTAAAGACTGGCCAGTAAAAGCCACAGCTTTGCTGTAATTGACTGATGAACAAAGATCTTCCTCTACTTTTCTAAGCACACGCAGCCAAAAATGAAGCAAGTCAAGGAACCGGGAAACCAGGGAAGTAGAAGTGGCATGATCTGAAAGGTTGAGGTGCTCTTGGGGGATGTTAAGTAGGTTTTGGCCAGGCACACACTCTCCCAAGCAATCAGACAGAAGGGATGGAACTGATGGGCAGCTGTGTCTCAGTTTGCCAATTTCATTTAAGTGTATGGGCTAATGTCAACGCTTGCCTCATCAAAATTCCAGGTTAAATATTAGCATCTTCAATAAATTTTATCTTAAAAATGAGCCCATTGGTTCTCTTGGAAGAACTCAGAAGGTAGAATACTTACAGCATCCTCTACTGAACCAAATAGTTTGCTGAAAACACTGGTCTCATTGGAGGAATTATGATGGCATAACAGTCCCTGGAGGCCACCCCAGATGCTGGAGTTTCCAGGGGGTCGGAGGGTCTCCTTCTCAGACAAGTATTCATCAGGGCAGAGAGTAGTAACATTCTTCATCAATATCTAAAAGATTAATGAGGGTGAGAAGGGGTAACGTTTAGAGAGGCTTAGATATCGTCACCACGGGCTCAAGAACTGCAAATAGAAATAAGCAACAATAAAAATTTTAAAACACAGCATAAAGTTACTCAAAAACTTGCCTATTTTTCCCTTTATTTCGCTAGCACAATTCACAACAGGAGCAAAACTGAATATTGCATGAGCTTCTTGAATGTTTTATAAAAATTGTTTATTTATAATCCTTTGCTGTGCTTTACCTGCTTTAACTCCCAAAAGAACACATCCTTTTCCAGTTTCAATTGGTCAAGTCCAACCCATTTAAAATCATTAGCTAATGTCTCCAGGCGAATGAGGATTTCTGCAAGACAGACAAATTGATTTATTATTCACCTAAGGTAGGCTACTCTGAGCTTGACTTCTACGCCTGGCCATGAATTAATAAACTGAACTCTGAAAACGTGCATTTCAGTAAACTTGACCTGTTATCATACGATTTGTTACCTTCCTTAGAGAGGAAAACAGAAAACGTCATTAAAATTCCACATATCCTTTCTGAAGACATGGGAGTATGAGATTTTAGTTACAGTAGAATTTTGCTTCTAAAGTGACATCTTTCCTCATTTCTTCTCTCTCTTCCCTGAGAAGGTGAAAAGGCTCCAGCCCACCTGGGCAAAAGTGCAAACCTGACTTCCTCAGAAGAGGGCAGAAGGAACAATGCCCACCATAGTCGAAGTTCAAAGAAGAGCATTCTGAAAACCTAGGAGGAACATGTTCTCCCTGCCAAGAAGCAGAGGGGAGGAGCACAGACTGTGAAAGATTCACAGTGCCCTCTGGTCCCTTTCTGGCCTGAGAACCACAGATGCTGACGTGAATGTGAAAGTCAAACACCAGTCCCAAGAAACTGCCCATCACAGACCACACTGCGCGCTTATGGCAAACAGAGGATGCACTCTTCACTGTGACGGCCTTGTTCACTCAGCCTTGGTGTGCTGATTTGAAATACCCTAGCAGACATCACGGCAAAGCATAAATATGTACACAACACCAGCAAACTTATCTCCCAACTTTACAATGTTGTCAGGCAGTTTCAAGTCCGTTTTCCAATAAATTTTGTGTTTGCTCTTAGCGAGCCGGTGACAAATAATACCAGAGCTGGTTTACCTTGGACAAAATGTAAATTCTGGGCTACTGAATTCCTGAGAGCTCCATCAAGCTGAAGCAATCTCTTCAGAGCCGGCCACGGGGGCAGGTTTTGCAGCACGCTCTGCAATTTCTGCAGATGCCGTAATCTGAGGGCAAAAATAAATAAATGAAATAAAATGGAAAGCAGCTCAAAGTGCAAACAAGGGATATAAAAATTCCATTCAAAGGAAAATATTACACTGCTTTGGGAAGTGTGTTCACAGACTGAAAGTCTTACTTCATCAAATAACCAGGTTCTTGACAAATTGCATTGTTTGAATCAGCTGATTTGGAGATTCTCTTGGTACTGAATATGTATTAAACATTCTCTTCACTCAAAAACAGAAAAGTTTATTCCTGACAGTGTGTAATAGAGGTGAGGGTTAGGATAAATTTCCAGGAGAGATTTTAAAACATTTGCCTTGAATCCTACAGTTAGTTATAAGACAAATAAAAATATTTTGAGAAGAGTTTTAAAATGCAGAGATGATGTGTGGCAGCAAACAGAACCCATCAAAGTGGTCCCAACCAGGGCTAATTGGCAATGCCCGTAAGATTCTCCAAAGTCAAGGTCATCAAGGCAGGATGACCAGCCAGGCAGCTTGACACCTGTAGTCCCTGGAACATTAGGTTAACGGTACCCAGAAATGTGGAAGACATAAAGGAAGTAACTCAGAAGAGAAGCTGGAAAGAAAATGACTCTGAGAATGAGAGGAAACTGAAACTGGGATAAATATGGAAGAGCGAGGAGCACGACGCAGTCCCACTGCGAGTAGCAGAACTGCCACGGAGCAGGTGAGTCCCGGCTTCCTGAGTCTTTGTGCAAGCACATGGAATCCTCACCCATGAAGAAGAAGCCAAGATAAAAGAAGAGAAAAAACAGAAAGAGATGTGACTACCTGAAGCCCAAGCAAAATACTCCACCGGCTGGGGCCGTGCCACAGCTTTCAGCTCCTGCCCTCCATTTGGACGTCAGCGCCACAGTGGCTGCGCTGGTCACAGCACCTCCCTAGTCCTGGGCTAAGCACAGGTGCGATAAATAGCTGCTGCTATTCGGTAGCCTGTGTGCTGATGGTCTGACCCCTGCAGAGGGTATAGAGAGAGTGAGGAGGGTCCCCGTGATGTTTCTCCTACAAGCAACTGGCAGGAGGTGGTACCCATCCCCGTGTCATCCCCCTGCAAGGCAGAGCGGCTACGCCATCACAGCTGCATGCTGGGGCTTTCTGGCCACTGACCAGACTCATGCCACCTCTCTCTGGCCTGAAACCAGAGGTGCGGCTTCTTAAACTGGGCCTCTCTCTGAAGCATGAAGTGGGGTTAGGTTACTCATTCCTCTGACTCTCTGGGATACACTGAGGGGGAAGAAAAATGGCTCTGGAAAAAACTAGAAAGTGGGAAGGAGATGGTGGTATTTTATTTTATTCTCCCCAAGAAAAAAGATATACTGTGTGTCTTGGAACCTGGATCTGGGCTGCCAAGCCTCTTCAAGCTCTGAAGAGCAAGGACACGCACGGCTAGACACAGGGACTACGCCTCTCATGTCTGTGAACAGGTGCCTTGCAGCAACGTGGGGGGTTGAAGGGCTAGTCCTTGCTGGAGGGTCCAGTGGCACCCCACGAGTCCTTGCCTCACAGGGATCTGCGCTCTCCACTGGCTCCCACTGGGTGGGAGCTCCCAGGCCTCAGTACCTCAACTGAAGGGACGTGGGCAGGAACAGACAAAACCCTGACAAGGAAAGGCAGTGTGTAATGACACAAAGGTCTCAGCAGGAAACCGAGGGTCTGGCGATATTTCCATTCCTCTGTGTTGAAAGACGTGACTTAGGAAGAGAGAAGACCTGGACCATTGGCTACAGAGAAAGAGTAGAAAAGAAAGGATGTGGTTCCTGGACCAAAGCTTATGATAAAGTTAAGATAAAAGACATAGAGTTTCGGGCTAAGGGTGAGTGTGAATCTTATAAAGATGTGAAGAAGCCTGAAGGGAAGGAACTGCCTGACTTCATTGCAGTGTTTAAACTGAATTGGAGAAACAAGGATAAAACTTTGAAAAGAAGGTAATCGAGATATCAATAAGTACAACAAAAACAACAACAAAAAATATTAAGGTGGAGAAGAAAGAACTCAGCAATATCCCAGAGACAAAACAGAGAGTTGCTAGCCACAGGTATGGCAGATAAGAAACTACCTAGCACAGAGAAGAGAGCAATTGGAATTTTAAACACCACCCCCCCCACACACACACACACACTGCAATGGGACTCATGACTCCATACAAAAGCAAAAGAAGAAAATTACTTTGAAAATATAATAGTAGAATTAACAAAAGGAACCACAAAATCTGGAAGGTGTATATGAAGGGACATCTGACATCTGTGTAGGAAGATCAGTGACTCTGTAAGAAGAAGGATGGAGGGGTAAAGGGTGAGTTTAGAAGGAGAGATAAGCAGATGTTGGTGGCAGGGGGTGAGAAGGGGCGACTGTTTAAGAGCACCCACTCAGTGTGAGGCATTCTCATCACGGGGATCTCCATCAGTCCTTGTAGCAATCTAACAAGGTGAGCAGATGATTACTTCTGTACAGATGAAGACACAGGGCCATTGGGCTGTCGTGTGTCCAGTCTCCAGTAGACCAAGGGGTTGAAGACTAGAAAGGGCTTAGGGACCATCTAGTGGTGCTGTTACCAAACCAAGAGGCCAAGGCCCAGGGGGACAAACAGCGAGGCCAAAGCTGCACAGGTAACAGAGGCGCTTGTCATCAGGGCAGCCATGAGGTGGCAGTTTTGCATTACCTTTAACAAAAGTGGTGTCCAAATAGACATGGAGGCTCCAAAGGCCAATTGCTGGCCCAGTGCACACAGCAGGTACATCCCAAAGCCAGTATTTGGGCCCTCATCTTCCTGACCCTGAGAGCACGTGGAAATTATGTATGGGAGCCAGGAGACTTGTGCTGTCCATACTTGATACTTAGAATGTGGAATGGTCTTTAGCTTCCCCAATCTCCACACTAGCTAAGAGGTAGAACTTCTGGGACCACATTCTCCTAGTCTGGCAGAGAGCAGACAGAACCCTGGGCTAACGTACCAGGGGGTGTTTGAGGTTTGTGGGATAGTTAAGGTGACTTGCTGTGGTATCTCTATTAACGGGCATTCAATTACAGACCACCAGGAAAGTTTCCAGTAGCCCCAAAGCAATGTCCTGCTTTTGAAGCTCATTTATGAGAGAATGCTTTGTGCCTGCCTGAGCCTTAGGTCAGGCGTCCCTGCTGGCTCCCTGTATCCATCCCCCTGTCGCTTTTATGGCCCTGAGCTGGAACCACACTGCAGCCTGAGCACAAACAACTCATGCCCCCGGGCATCTCCTAAGCAAAAGTTAAGAACTGGAACCTTCTCAAGCAATCCTATTTCCCACGTGCGTTTCAGAAAATGTGAAAGAGATGAAGTTGCTATTTGTTATGTAATCACAAAAACACGATATGGCCCCACACAGTTCTGACATCACAATTCTCTCTTCATGGTGCACAAAGAGCAAGAGTTTGTGTGACCCTGGTTTCAAATGAACCTTTTGAGATAATTTTGAGAAATCATATTGTTCTCTTCGAAGGAGAGCCTTAACTTCAGGAGCAGAATAAGATTCAAGTTACTACAAATTGCCACACATACTCAGGAGAAAGATCCAGCCTTGACCATTTTGGTAAATAAATTTTGGTTATCTTAAAAATGAAGAAACCACAAGTTCCACCTTTTCCTGCTTCCAAAATATTTTTGGACTGTATGTAAACACTTCAACTATGCAAAATCTTTAAGTATGAAAACAGGTAGTTCCTTACATGAAAATATCTCTGAAAGGTATTTGTTCATTTTTAAACAAATGCCAAAGACACAAAATCTAAAATCCAGAAGGCTGACACCTTCTCAAATATTGCTCCCCCGTTAGACGGTTAGCAACATCCACACGGGCACCCTGACTGATGCAATGTGTTCTATCCTGGTCCACAATGAAAGCCTTGGATTTCCCATTTGTTAAGTAGAAATTCATTGTCCAGCTATAATTTTACAGAATTTGTTTCTAACAATATCATCATGCACTATTTAAAATTTAGTGTTATCTATCTAATTGATAACAGAACCAGGAAATGTGCCTTACATCTTTGGAGATGTAAGATTGTCTCTCGGGCCATCCACTGCCAAGCTATCGTTCAAGAGGAGCAGCCCAGTGTGCAAAGCTTCCACCACCTTCCACGGCTTGCCCTCTTCTTCAAGCCGGCCCCTGAGAGCCTCCAGACTGTGGACCATGCCTGTGAGTATCTTCTGAAACAGGCTACCCTGTTGCCACTGATTAAACACCTACAAATTTAGGAAAAAAATACTATTGTTAATAATAGCAAATTAGAAATAATAGTACTTAGTTAAGAAATACTAACAGACTATTCTAGATGACAGCCAATTTTGATTTTGTTGGCAAATTGAAATGTCTGTTAACAATTGCATTATGATTTAAGTTTTACTCAGAAATTAAAGATTAAAAGTTGCAACAATGGATCCCCAGAACTTTTTATTTGGTACCCTATTTCTCTCTTTTTTTCCTTTAAAGAGAGAAAAAAAAGAGAAGGCAATAGCATAATTCTCTAAACAAATGAAATATAATTTTAAAACTAAACTAACATGTTTAGGATTATATAAATATATTCATATATTTTAAAATATATACCATAATTAATACATAGGTGCTAAATGCCATTTAATGACATGGACTTGGGGATGATGATACTAAGGGCAATTAATATTATGGTTTGTCATCAACATTACACCAAAACAGATCAGTTGAGCCCAATTCAGACAGCATCGGGAAATACATGATGCACATCTAGGTGTGCTCACCAGGCCTCAGGTAACTATGAGTTTAATCACCCAGACGATGCTCGAAGCAAGGTGTGCACTGGAACGTTTCGATGCTGGTCATTTCAACATCGTCTCCTGTCCTTTTAATGCCGATGACTGTAGTGCCACGGAGTGGACAATCACACCTATACATTTTTAATGACATTCTATCCACTATTTGAGATTTTGACCTTCATCAGTGACACATGTTAGGGGGGAAAAGTTAAAGAGGTGTGTTTCTGAGTAAAAATGTGAGATGGACATTGTGATGCCTGATAGAGCAAATAAGAAGCCACTGCCAGGGAGACTCTGCTTCTCAGTCTCCAGTAGCACAGAGCTGTGAACCGCCCAGGGCCCCCATCGGCTTCCGAGGTCAGGAGCAGTCCGATCTCTCGGGGCACTCTGCCCCACCGACACCTCTGTGAAAACAGACCACAGCCTCCCTTCTCATCGTTGGCCTCTAAATCACAGTCACTGTCCTTGCACGGTGCTCCTGGTCAACACCAGGGTGAGGGGACAAGGAAGCCAGCACTCAGAGTGTTGCAGGGAGGTCGAACACATGCTCGCAAATGTCCAGAGCCCAGCAGAGTAGCCCAGGGAGGACCTCACACACCAATAGCAGAGCATGGGCCTAGGAACTTCTTAGTTGCCAGCTAAGCCTAGGACGGACAGTTTGGTGACACTTGTGTTGAGCTGGAGCCAGTGGACACACGCGGGAAAAGGTGCACACAATGGCCAGGATGTGGGCATCCCAAGGCCTTTTCCCGGGAAGGACGCAAAATCAGACAGTGAACAATGTGGGGAAAAGGGGATGGATTTGGACACACTTCAAGCTGCATGCCTTTGGACAGAGCATGTGGAGGTGGGACAGCACCTGTTTGTAGACTCGCGGCCAGCTGACCGCACGGACGAGATAGTGTTTAGCTTCTGACCAGTTAGGGTGACAGTCTCCACGGTGGCCCTCTCTCTCAGCATCATCCTCCAATGTGCTGGACAACGCTGAACACACCATCCTCTCTAATGAGCTGTCTGTGGGAATCTGGCAACAGAATGAAAAAATATTTGTAGGAAAAGACTTCTTTCCTAGAATGTTTCTCTTCTAAAAATAAAACCACAATCTTGCCTAAGTAAAAGCTCTTACATTCGCTTGATTGAAAAAGTAACAGGTGATAAAGTGTCACTTGTAATGTTTATGTGATTTATTTCGAGGGGATATTTTTGTGGTGAGGAAACTTGATTATGTTTTTGAGAATTATCCATAAGCAATGGGTGCAGCTGCTTCTCCAGGCCAAAATGTGGAGATGATATCAAACACTGTTCATCCTCATTCTTGGGCCAAAAGCCAACATGGACCAGCCCAGTTTAATTGATACTTTGGACTAACAAAGTTGTTTTGCCAAGAACTTTTCTTTTCTAACAAAAGTGGATAAAATAGGAAAGAGTCAAATTGGGATCCCAGGTCAGAAACTGTTCAATATCTTTGAACCAAATTTCCTTTATTTTGTATATGAATTTAAATGCAGTTTTTCAAACACTTCTGTATAAATACTGATGTTTGTGTTAGAACATTCCCCTATTATATAGCTTTAAAATAATTGTGGTGTCATCTTTCAGAGATTCAACTGATGGCTGCTATGGTCTGAGTGTTTGTGTCCCCCTCAAAATTCATATGTTGAATTCCTGACCCCCAAGGTGGTGGCAGGACAAGGTGTGGCCTTGGGGATGATCAGGTCATGTGGGTGGAGCCGTTAAGAATGGGATTAGTGCTCTCATAAAAAAAAGGCCCAAGGCAGCTTCCTGACCACTTCTGCTATGTGAGGACACAGCAAAAAGGTACCCTCTAGAGCCAGAAAGCAGGCCCTCGCCAGACACCAAATCTGCTGGAGACTTGATCTTGGACTTCCCAGCCTCCAAAACTGTGAGAAATAAATTTCCATTGTTTACAAGCCACCCAAGCTATGATCTTTTGTTATAGCAGCCTGAATGAACTAAAATAATGGGATGATCCAAAAGCATGAAAGCCCCATTTGTCACTTTGTAGGTTTCTTTAGGATGCAGATTAAAAATATTCACTTGTGACTAAAAAAACCACAGGGTCCCTCATGTTTCTGTTATGATTTTTTCCCTTTAATTAAAAAAAAATAGTCAACAATACCATGTATCATGTTAGAAAGATAAGGCCCATTCTCAGGGTCTCTAGAGAACCATCAGGTTCCCTGGGACCTGCCCTCTCATGGAAGTGAGGCTGGAGTGAGGTCATGGGGCCTGCACAGAGGATGTGAGGTTAGATGCATCTGATTTGGGGAACAGAGAAAGGGAGCAAGAAGGACCACTCTCGTCCAGCAGCAGCATGTGGTGAGGCCTCTGCAGGACCCAAGAGATGCTTAGGAACAGAGGCTGACCCCAACAGTAAAGGGCTTAATAAGGAGAGGGAAGCAGGCCAAAGGCCACTTGAGATGCCCACATCCTGATCCCTAGAAGCTATGAATATGTTATGCTGCATGGCAGGTGAGATTTCAGGTCACAGATGGAATTAAGACTGCTAATCAGCCAACTTTGAGATGGGAGATCATCCTGGATTGTCTAGGGCACCCAGTGTAATCACACAGGTCCTTATTAGTGGAGTCAGGAGGTAAATGTCAGTGCCAGAGTGATGGGATGTGAGCAGGACTCAAGCTGCCATGACTGGCTTTGGAGAGGGAGGAAGGACCTGACAGCCAAGGAATGTGAGCAGTCTCTAGAAGCTGGAAAAGACAAGGAACAAGTGAAGGGTACCAGAATATGCTACCGCAGAATATTTCACTTTGGCACACGAATTATTTCAAGTTAAAAGCTAAAACTTAGCACCTGCAGATGCAGGAAAAGCTCCTTACTTCTCCCTAGCTTTCTAAAAATAGAGTATAGATGTCCCTTTTGTAAAGGAAATTTACATTTATAAAGGAAATTTTCATTTGTAAAGATGTCTTCTACCAGGAAGAGAGCTACTCCTCCAAATAACTCTGATCACCTGAGACACTTTCATCTGCATAACAAAACAGCCCTTATTCACTGTAAGTCTCCCCCTCCCTCACCCTCCTGAAACTTGCCTGGATGTCCAGAAACCCAAAACCCATTTTCCTTTGATAGCCTAATATAGTGTATGTGCCTCAGTCATCTGACTGCCTCCTTGAAACACAGGGACTCCGTGGCCTACAATGGGGTTACACCCTGATAAACCCACTGAAACTCAAAATGCCGTAAGTCAAAAGTGCACTTATGAGACAAAGCCAAGGAGGCCGACTAGAGACATGGCTTTTCGGATCGTCCCTGCTGGAAGATAGACTATTGGACTGAGGAGAGAGGAGAGCAGTTGCAACTCAGGTGTGGATCACAGGGAGAGACAACAGAGATGTCTGGGAAAAACTGCAAAGCCGAGAAAAAAGAAAATAGAGAAGAGAAGACAGCAGCGTGGTCCAAACCCAGAAAGGCTGGGAGCCCAGTGAAAGGGTAAGGGGGACCCCCCTCCCCCACATAGGTACCTTCAGTGAGCAGCGGGCCATAAAACAGTTTGGAGGTGTTTCCACCCTCTATGAGCCCAGGCACAGCGGCTAAATAGGAATAGCAGAGTGAACCAGCGATCCACCGGAGTATGGGTGTTCAAAAGGGACACTCAACAAGAGAGGGCCACGAGAGATCAGAGTACCAGCTTTCTCACACCTAGACACTTCCTCCTCCGCACTCTCCACCAGTAATGGCATTAGGGAGTGTAATTTTAGCTCTCAGGCCAGCTGGTAGCCCCGCTTCCCCACCTCCACCCCACCCCCACCATTGCTACCACAAGAATACTCTGAACCAAGCAGCACACGAATGGCTGAGTCTCCATGGCAGGTGCGTGTTCCCACTGAGCCCACCACTGAAAGTGGGGTCCCTGCAATTTGCGAGCTTGCAGGCATTTCACAGGATGGCATGCTGGCAGCTTAGACAGGTGGGTCAGAAATGGTGCCTGCCCCAGGAATGAGAGTAGTGCAGGGAGACACAGGGGAGACGTCTCTGTCTCAAACTTGGGCAGTGAGGAAGCCCTTGTGGACATATCCAATGGGAGAGTGTGGAGGGGCACTGAGGAATGGGGATCTGTGAGTACACCCATCCCCCACCCCTGCTAGAGAACCTCCATATTGGATAGGGATGCAGCTCTCAGAGTGAATTAGCATAGCCCCTGGTTTTCAAGACAACCAAATACCTCAGCTGAATGAGAGCAGTGACCCCTGGCCCCACTCATAACAATAGGGAGTGCAGCCGGAGCCAAGGAACTTGTGAGTGACCATTTGTTCCAGGTGGGAGTGTACCTCTGGCAGGGGCCCCTGCGGACAGATAGGCCTACCTCCCTCCCCTTGGGGTCTTGTGGTGGAACAAATATGCATAACTGAGGATCCCCCCGCCCCAGAGTCTCATAGAGACACACATTAGTGGGTCAGACACATGGACTGAGAGGTAGTTCAAGAGCCAGTCTCGAGTGGTGAGGGAATGGACACTAATTGATCTGATGGGAGAGTGCTGTGGAGTTACAGAGAGCAAATAGGGAGGGCACCCACCCCGCCCCATCCTACCCTACCCCAAAGAGAAACTGCGCTAGTGGACAAGGGCAGAAAGAGCCTGACCTGAAGCCTTAGCTCACAAGACATTAAGCTCCTCCCTCAGGAACAGCCTCCCAGCTTGGAGGGACTGCCCTGAATTTCATACCAGCGGTTCCCCCTAGTGGCTGGATAAGCAACCTCTGAGCCTCGCTGAGGCCTTGCAAAGCCTCTCCAACCACAATTTGTCTTGCTCCTCCCCCAACCTGAGGGGGAGTAGAGATCAAGTAAACCCCTAGGAGCTATAGGGACCCTTCTAAAGCTTGGGGCATTCATATGCCCCAACTGGGGGAACACAGCTTACTCAGGCACAGAGACTATCTCTGCAGCTGGCTCTTCCACGCAAACATCAATCAATGATGAGGGAACAACCCCATAGGTGAACATAGCACCTTCCAACTCAAGCAAAAGGGGATAGCTGATTTAAACTCACAAGTACCATCCACCATCACCATGATTAAGCTGGAGGACCTAACTCACTACACACTATTGGGAAGAGGTGAAGACAGCAGGTCAGAGGTAACCCAAGAGGTACAGCTAACCTGCTAGAACACCCCATAGGCAACTCAGGACCAGCACTCCTCTCCCTGGCACGCTCAGTGATTGATCTTCCAGAATACAGAGACAGACCTGAAAGCCAGGCCTAGCAGCCCAGATCTCAAATGAGAGGCCAGATGAGAAGGAATCAGCAAAAGAACTCCTGAAACATGAAAAATCAGGGCAAAAGGACATCCCCAAAAGAAAACAATAACTCCTTACCAATGGATACCAACC